CACGAAATGATGACTAATCAAAAGGAAGAAATGAGACAATTATTGTTGAACAACAGGATTGAACCTTTAATGCCTGTTGAACAACCTGAACTAAACGACGTTTAGTAGGAGGAAGGAAATTACAGTAGATATGTTGGTCAATATGAACCGTTTGTGGTTAGAAGGAATAATCAAGAGGATGGAGTTGAGAAAAATGGATGCAAGTATAAAGACTTTATGACTTGCAAGCCATCAACTTTTACTGGAAAGGAAGATCCCTTCAGAGTAATGAATTGGATCTCGGAGATGGATTTAGCCTTTATGACATGTGGTTGCAAAGGCAAGCTACAAACCATATTTGCAGTGCGTCAGTTCAGAGGTGGCGTTGTTCGCTGGTGGAACACTCTGGGGAAGACCCTAAGCCTTAATGAGCCACTCCAACTGACTTGGGAAGAGTTCTTGGTGCATTTCAAGCGCAAGTACTGATCGGCCGAAAATTTGCTTGAGTTAGAAAATCAATTTCAGACATTGAAGAAGGGAAGTATGTTTGTAGATGAATACACCAATAACTTCACAGACAAAATGGAGTTTGCTTTGCATATTGTCCCAGACGAGCTGACGAAAATCGATAGGTACGCAAAGGGACTTCCATGGGAGTATGCAGTTCCAGTACGTCAAGCACTTACTTTGGAGGCAGCTATTTGGGTTGTCAAGTCTGTTGAAGATATGATCAAGGGAAGAGCCGCCAACAAGGTTGAAGTTGACGAGAAGAGAAAGTTAGAAGGAACTTTAGGGTCCAACGAGAAAAGAAAATTCTCGAAGTTTGGAGGAGGAGGAGATGAAGCAAGATGGTGCAATAAGTGCAAGAAGAAACACGTAGGAAAATGTGGCGAGGAGGTGACATATTTCAAATGTGGAAAGTACGGGCATTATGCCAATGAATGTACATTCATTAAAAGGGTGTGTTATGAATGTAATGAAGAAGGGAACTACAAGCAAGATTACCCAAAGAGGAAAGGAGCTACAAAGTTAAATGTACCTCCAAAACCAAAGGCAAAAGCATTCCCGATGATCCTTAATGAAGCAGGCAAGAATGCAAGGGATCGGGAGTAAGGACTATGTGTTCCAAAATCAAGATATAACGCAACCATGGAGATAGTATTCGGTGGTGTAGCCTATAAGAGGCATAGTGTAGGTTAAACTACAACATCTTTGTAATGTTTTCAAGAAATAATATAAACCTTCGTTTTGTTATCTGATGTATTAAATGATTATGTGAAAATTTTGAATGATGACTTGGAAATCTCCGATACAATACTTGGGACGAGTATGATAGGTGTGAATAGTAGTAGAGGCTTACACTACTGGAAGTATAGGACTCATGCTTGGATCGAGGAAAGTCACAAGGTTACCAAGAAGCTAGTAAATGATTTCGTATTTGCTCAAATATGTCATTACCATCGTTTCGATAATGACTAAAATTATGAATGATATTCCAAACCTAGAGGTCATATCGAATCGAGTCCGACTAAGATGATTATGTTATGTGGTTTGGGGAAAATTGAGTCCAAGGTTTATTGGACCAAGCTTACAAGATAGAACTACCAGAAGAACTAGAAGGTATTCATAACAGCTTCCACGTGTGTTATTTGAGGAAGTTCACGGGAGAAGTTCCCGGCATCATTCCAATTTCTAAATTAAGGTTGGATGAAAGCAAGAGATTAACTGAAGAACCGGAGGCAATTGTTGACCATAAGACTAAAAAGTTGCGATGTAAGATGGTCGATTTAGTGCTTGTGTGATGGAAACATTTAAATAGGTCAAAGCTCACCTGGGAAATGGAGAGTGACATGATGAATCGCTATCCAAAACTGTTTGTTGATGTGTGATTCCGAGGATGGAATCATTCTAAGGGGGAGAGAATTGTAACACCTGTGTTTCTTGTCTAAGCATTAATGATGGTGTAATAGTTTAGGTCAACCATTGTAACTCGTTTTGAAGTATTAAGAATGAATTGTGTGCTTTAAACTTAATTATTATGATTTAATAAATTAAGAATAAAAATAAGCGTCGAAAATAAATATTAGATAAAGCCAATATCGATGAAGAAAGTTGTAGTGGTTAAAACAAGGATTTCGGAGATATAAAGAATACTGAAATCCAAGTTATAACAAAGAAGTTATGACTTGTCGAAGTTTCGCGATAGAACTGACACGACGTTGTATGACGTAAAAAGTGAATTTACAATAAAGTGTTTTTTAGCCTTAGCGATCTAAATAAAAGTTGTAGTATTCGTTAAATCGAGAGCTTGCATAAATAAAATGTCCACATCTGGCTTCGTATGAAGAAGTTATAAATTTTATAAGATTTGGCATATCAGTGTGCAGCCCGAAACTCGAATTTTAGATCGAGTGATTTTTAGCCTAAACAAACTAAACGAGAATCGAAAATCTTGTTGATATTAGTTCAACGGTAAAAAGACAGGCGAAAATAGACGTCAGATAAAGAAGTTATGAATTTTTAACGGACTGTTCCTGTCCTAGCCTACTAAAAAACTATAACTTTAAAAATAAAGTCAAAATTAGCCGATAGAGTCTAAACTAAAGTTGTAGAGCATAGTCTAACCTACGCGTGGATATAAAGAACGTCAAAAAACGGAACTCGTATGCGAAAGTTACGAATTTTTGAAGTTTGGAAATTCAGAGTACGCCCAGCCTACTCGTGTTTACGATCCGAGATTGGCCACATTGCCTACTCCATTGCTTGATAGCCACATGTTCGTAGCTTGGACACATTCGGAGTTATCCCTTAGTATGCCCAGTATGTTTGATGTACACCGAGCGTACTGATTGGAGAGGGAGTACGCCCAACGTACTCTAAAGTTACGCCCAGCGTAACTCCTGGGATCAGCCACTATAAATAGCACCCGGTGCAATCCGATTTTGGGTTGCAAACTTTCATTCTCCCACCCTATACTTTCTCCAATATTGCAAAAATTACCCCTAAGCCTATTATATCATCCTAGCATTACAAGCAAACCCCGGAGAGCCCGAAGATCCCGATAAAAAGAGTTTTCGAGCCGAAACTCTGCCCACGTGAAGCCCAGTTTTTGAGAGCACATCTCGGTTTCATCAAAGAATATTGTTTTGAGACGAAGTGTTGTACAATCGTCGTCTTATCAAGTGAGTGTATTTTCACTTTTATCTTACACATAGATATGAAGTATTTTATATAAAATACGTGCTATGTGTATATATGTTGTTTGTTTATTTGAGATATATGATGAAAGATTGTTTTATACATATTCTAAACTGTATATGTATTTTATATCTACAAATATGTTGGGTAAAACGTGGGTAGATAAAGAATGAGGGTTGAAAGATGATATAGATGTTATTGACAGTTGCGCCTAATAAATAACATTGGCAGTTGTGCCAATTAGAGAATAAATGATGTTCTTAGCAGTTGCGTCTAATAGATAACATTGTCAGCTGCGCCATAGGTAAAGATGGACTTCATGCTTATTTCTTAGGTTAATCTATATGAATGAATGAACGAGGAATAACTGATTTCTTAAAGTGGATCCTTAAGAGTAAAGAAGATAATGGGGTGGGAAATTGGGTTGATTATTTGATGTTTAAACATAATTAATAAATTTATTGTTGGCTGATGTAATTAATAAATTTATTATTGGCTGGTGAAATTAATAAATTTATCGTTGGTTGATGAAATTAATAAATTTATTTATTGTGAGATGAAAACCCTATATGCTCACCACGCTCCTAAGTCTGACTCACTCAGCTTTTTATATTACAGGTAGTGGACCCAGAGCATAGTTGGATGATGACGAGGGATTTTTGGATTATAGGTCAGTACATTTAATAACTGTTGTAAGGCTTATAATGTACTTTTATGTTTTTGGTCTGTATCGAATCATGACATCCCAAGGTTTTGTTATATAATGAAAATACATTTCTTGAAGAAATGTTTTGATAAATGTTTATTATATTTTGCTTTCGGGACAAATTCCGCAACACCTTTTGAAAGATTACTCTTATTTTATTTTAAAAAGCATAAACGAAATTGATCTTTTTTAACCGAGAAAATGGGGATGTCACAGAGAACCCTTAGAATCGAAGAAAACAATTTAACCCATTAAGTTGTTGAATACCCAATAGCCACGATGTGGCAAAAGTCACCACGACATGAAGGCTAGGTTGGTCTCGACTATTTTGTCGCATCGACACCACGACATGGTCAATGATGACCACAATGTGGTGGCCAGTCTGTTGATTTTCTTTGACCATTTACCATTGACTTTTGGACCAAGTTTGATTTTGGTTCAAACTTGGCGATTTTGATTAATTGATTGAGATCCTATTTGGTTCTAGTGTTGGTGGATTCGCTGGAGCAAGCAATGTGGAAAAGGGCATCGTATCGCAGTGTTCAGAGTGCTTTGATTCAGGTGAGTTTCGCCTTTCGCTTTCTTTCATTTTGGCTGTTCACTCGAAAATTAATGACACATCTAAGATTAGGGATTCTTAGAACATAAATCAACAAAAAAAAATTGTTTTGATGGAAATCGAACCTAGATAAGATGAAGATTCAGATTGAATTAATAACCAACACTTAATCCATAGTGAACCGATAGATATCGTTTGAGAAGGGGAGAACCATTGGATTCGTGGGACTATCGATTGTTGCCGCCGTCAGACAAGAATGTAGCAGAGAAGCATAGTGGTTGAGCAGTATAGAGGAAACGAAGAGGGTGAATTTGTTTTTAGGGTTCGATGTTGTAAATATAAACTGTGTGATGCAATTTTGAATATTCTATAGGATTCAATTTTGAATAAGATTTCGTCCTAAGAGTTTAAAGGATTATAAGGGGTAAAATTGGTATTTCATTTTGAAGGGGAGAGGCTTAGCAATTGCCAAGTACCAATTGGATACTCCAAGAAAAAGATTTGACTTTTATAATTTGTATTCCAACCATCTTTATTCCTGGCCTTCCAGGATTTTTCCAAAAATTAAAACAATGACATGTAAGATTTTGACATTTTGTCCATTATATATTTATATGATTAGATCTCAATGATACAACTCAAAACCCCTCAATTATGGCAAAAATGCTCCTGCTGTTCTGGTTACTTGTAGATCTTCTCGTATTCATAATCACAGGTGTGTTTCTTTTTTCATTTGATCCGTCAATACCGTTTTCGTTTTCCTCACAGCCGTTTTATCGTATAGTTTGGGCAATGTTTTGAAAACCGAACCGGTCGTCTTACCGGTTCGATGGTTCAGATGGTCCAATCGGTCAGACCGGTCTCAAAAACCGAGAAAACCGGATGATATCATAATTATATTTAATTATAAAAAAATAAAAAAAATATATAATTTTTTTTAAAATTTCCGGTTTTACCGGTTCAACCGGACCGGTTTTTACTGGTTTTCACCGGTTCAAATGAATACCGGTTTTTTGGCATTTAAGAACCGGATCCGGGACCGGTTCCCGGTTGAACCGGTCGAACCGGCCGGTCCGGTTTTCAAAACATGGAGTTTGGGTAATTAAACTATTATTTTCTTTTTAATTGTGTCAAAAAAATATTATAATGATTCATTTTGAAAACCGAATAGCAAAAAAAAAAAGGTTTGTTTAACTGTTAGAAAAGTTAAAATGATTCATTTTGATTTAATATAATTTCGCATCATTTCAAAATAAATTATTTTTATACTATGTATATAAGAATGAGTTTGTGTTTACAGTTGCACAAGATGCGCAACCTGTAGGGGTGTGTTACGGAAGAGTCGGTGATGATTTGCCATCGCAACAGGATGTGGTGAACCTTTACAAGATCAACAACATAACCAGAATGCGAATTTATGATCCAGATCGAGCTACTCTTCAAGCCCTAAAAGGAACCAATATCGAACTCATCATCGGCGTTCCTAATGATGCTCTGCAATCCCTCAACCAACAAAGCGCAGCGAACACATGGGTTAAGAACAACATTCAAAATTACTCCGACGTCAGGTTTAGATACGTCGCCGTCGGCAACGAAGTCGATCCAAACAACGCGAATAGTCAATACGTAAGTTACGTACTTCCGGCGATGCGAAATCTACACAACGCCATTAAAGCCGCCGGCCTAGGGAACCAAATCAAGGTGTCGACGGTAACGTACGCCGGTTTGTTAGGCGTCTCCTATCCACCCAGCAACGGCGCGTTTAATGACAATGCACGAGAGTTTATTGAGCCGATAATCAGATTTCTAGCTGAAAACAACTCGCCAATGCTTGTAAACATCTACCCCTATTTTGTAGACGCTAATGGCAATCTACTGTATGCGTTGTTTTTGTCACCGGGAACAATTGTGAGTGATAATGGCCGGAACTACTCTAACCTCTTTGACGCCATTTTAGATGCTCATTACGCAGCTCAAGCATCTCTTGGTGGAGAAAATGTGGAGATTGTTGTGTCGGAGAGTGGGTGGCCATCGGCAGGAGGTGATGCGTGGACATTTCAGACCGCAGAAACTTATTATAAGAATTTGATTGCACATGTCACAGGGATAACAGGGACACCGGCGAAGCCTGGAAGATCAATAGAGACGTATTTGTATTCAATGTTTGATGAAGGAATGAAACCTGGAGCAGAATCGGAGAGACATTTTGGGATATTCTATCCAGATAGACGACCCAAATATCAATTAAGCTTCAACCTCATCAAATCAAGAAATGGAAAGATAAGTGAAAGATATGGACTTCTCGCTGCCTTCTCTATACAAGGGTTTTGAGAATAAGGAAAGTATTCCATATATTTCGTTGATTTTTTAAGATATAAGGTAAATACAAAGATATTTAAGATATTTAGTCTAATTCATCCACGTTCATATTTCGTTGAATTTTTACTTCAATTCTTTTTGTCAAGATTCTTGAATCATAACATTTTTGCTGCAAGAATTTTGTGGCTATTGAAGCAAACTAATTTTTTTGAAATTGTTTCACTTTAAAGGGCCAAATAGAACTTTTTTCTCATGTTGATTCACTTTACAAAGCCAAACAACCTTTATGGGTTGATTGGAGACGAATATACAGTTTATGATCAGTTTAGACTTTGATGCACACAAGGTGTTTGTCTAATGGTCTGAAAGAATCTTATAACCCAACTAATTGTTAAATATGAAGACAATTACTAATAATTTGCTAATGTTGTCAGTAATCTAGTCATTAAGGTAACTGGAGATAATAGATGCTGAATTTGTTGTATCATGTATTCTTTTAGTACTAGATTTGATAAAGAAACATTTGATGCAACTATAATTTTCTTGATCAAGTTTCATAGATTTGCCAAGAACATGCATACATAAATTAAACAATAAAAAGGAAGTAGCAATTTTCTGTGAATCATTACGTGATCGACCACCAAAGCTTCAAGACAATTTCAAGTATATTTCATCACAGCTCCAAGATTAATCACAGCGCCAAGAATTTCGAGATTAGCTTTTTTTTTTTTTTGGTTTGTTGTATTCTCTGTTATTGACATTCATCTGATAAGGTTGTTCACTTGTTTGTGCTCTTGAAATTATTTTGTATTCAATTTGCTAATTTGTGTTCTTGTTATCTATCTTTTTGAAGCTACTGTTATAGTTTTTTACATATCAAAATTGCTTTTATTTGGCTGTTAAAAAAAAAAAATTGATGTTATATGTTTGACATGAACATGCATACATAAATTAAACAATGATAGGATTGCAAGTTTGGAGTTTGATCAGAGCATTAGAATTTGAGAAGGGACAGATGTTAAAATGAACATCCAATTTTTAAATCCTTTTACTAGTCTATTTTTAAATTATTTAAGTAGTCCTTTTAAAAGTGCTCATGACTTGGTGTGATAATGCATCTGCCTTCACTTTTATGCTCATTTGAAATCCTTTAACAAAAATTTGCGCACCAATTCTTAACAGCAACTAACTCTTAACAACAATTTATGCACCAATTCCTAACAACTAGGATTTTGATTAACTTGAATTAGCTAAAGGAGTAGCAAAGATCTTAACACCAACCTATAAAAAAAAAAAATGACTTTCTGTCCCCTTTCTTTCCCAGCCCCTCTACAACTAGGAGGTTTATATTATTAAAATTGAAATAATTGGAGTATGTGGATTTTGATTCACATCCACGTACTCTATTTAGAATTTTACATGTTGGTTTATGTTATTAAAATTGAAATACTTTCATTAACACCTACAAAATTTTCATATACAAATAATGTATGTATATTTTAAGCTATAAAGGATAAAATGTCAAAAATACAAAACCAATATTGGCATATTTATATGGTTTTGTTTAAAACACGGTTAACCAATAAAACTAGAAATGAGTTCCACTTTGATTAACCATGCAAGAATATGCCTTATTAGTTGACTTTTTTAGATTCTTTTATATGTTATAACTTTGAACCATAATAAATGTGTTTATATAGTTTTGTTTTAGAATTTTGGTTTCGCCCCTAGCTGAAATGGTGGTGTTCCGCCCATGTCTTCAACAAAATCTTATGTTTGTACACTTGATTAACAAATAACTCCCATATCACATTTGCATTTTGTCTAATTTCTTTAGCAAAATAAATGACATCAAACCATCCTGATAAGCATGGCACATGTGACTGTTTTAGCATAATTCATATACATATCCCACTTTAATAAATTTTATATGCTTTCAATATTTCATTATGTTACCATAATTTACTACTATTGCGGTTATGGCTCGCCTTAAAATGAATAGACGGGAAAGAACAAAGAAACTTGTTGCATTTAGTACATTGTGGATTGAGATAATTAGTTTAGTAAATTGGTATTTTCAACTAGTGAGTACTATTATTGCCTTACATATATTTATGTGTCCAACTAGACCTCGCTACAAGATGTTACACCCAGAGAGAAAAGAGTATATGCAAAGATTAGTATACAAAAGTGATGTGACTTGTATACAACAATTAAGAATGAATAGGGCAACGTTTGTTAAGCTGTGTCGTATGGTTGAGATTGATGGCAAGTTAAAAGCCTCTAGGTATCTCCAAATTGACGAACAAGTAGCGATATTTTTGTATATTTTGGCCCACCACGTGAAAAATCGTGTGGCGAAGTTTCAATTTCATAGATCAGGAGAGACAATTAGTAAACATTTCAATAATGTAGTCAATGTTGTTATTCGATTGGAAAAAAATTTGTTTAAGAAACCCGAGCCTATATCAGAAACTTCAACCGATGAAAGATGGAAATGGTTTAAGGTATGTGATTTGCTAGACTCGAGTATATACAGATTATTCTTGGTTAGCATTCTAATTCTCAACACATTTAACTGTGGTTATAGGGATGTTTAGGAGCAATATATGGGACACACATAAGTGTACATGTACCAAAGGCAGACAAACCTAGATACATAAATCGAAAAGGCGAAATAACAACGAATGTACTTGCTGCTTGTACTCCTGATATGCAATTCATTTATGTATTACCAGCATGGGAAGGATATGCTGCGGATGGTAGAATACTACGTAATGCAAGGAAGTGGAATGAGATAGGGGTCCTGGAAAAAATAAAAGGAAGTGGAATGAGATAGAAGACGAGAAACTTGTTGAAGCTATGGTTGATATACTTAATTCGGGTTCTCACTTTAAATCAGACAATGGTTTTAAGCTTGGGTTTTTTGGTGCTGTGGAAACCCGACTTATAGTATCACTTCCCAACTCGGGATTAAAAGCAAAGCCACATATCGAATCACGTATTATAACTTTGAAGAGCGATTGGTCTGTTATGCATGATATGATGTCATAGAACAACACAAGTGGTTTTGGATGAGATTATGAAAATAAAATGTTTGAAGCTCCTCAATTTGTTTGGCAAGCATACTTGCAGGTGATGATTTTAACTGAATGTTCTAATGTTATTTTAAGTATTTTTTAGCATAATTTATTATTTATTTATTTTTGGATTTATTTTATAGGTACATAAGAATGCAGCAAAATGGAGAGGTAAAAAATTTCCTCATTACTGGGACCTATGTCTTGTATTTGGAAAGGATGGTAATCTTCTTTACGGTTGAGGACGAAGGCAAATTTGGATGGGTAAAGGACTTGCTTGAAGATGATGCTTGACGTTATTTATATGATTTTTTTTATGATATTGCAATTTTTTTAAGTTATAAACATTACGATCATTTTTTTGTTAATGTTGATTTGACCTTGATATGTTTTTATGGTAGAGTTTTTTATTATGAATACAATTTTATATTTCTATAAACCATTTATGTTTATGTAATAGTTTTTGTTATTAGTTAAAGAAAGTAAAATTTTGACTAGATAATGTTGAATTTATTGAATTATGTGATCTTTGTGTAAGAAGGGTATTTTTTATCATTGTAAATTATTTTCATTCCATTCCTTTATGTTTTTTGTACATACCAAACAACATAGATGAATGACACATTCCATTCCATCAGAGTAACCAAACATGACGATGGAATGGTAATGAATCATTTCATTACCTCGTCTATTCCATTACTTAGTTCATTCCATTCTTTTCTCATTCCATTCCACCCAACCAAACACACCCTTAATGTATTATTAATTTAGATTTCAAACAAATCATTTGTTTCACATAAAATTGTTCATATGGTTAAAATGTCATTTTTATCATTGGGCATAGTCATTCACTAAGTGGATGTTTGGAATTGCTTTTCGGAATAGTTTATTAACTTATAGCTTTTTGAAAAGCTAATAAGTTAAAAAAAAATGTTTGGGTATTTAAAAATAGCTTTTGAAACAATTTTTTTGGAGCTTTTTATATAGGTAAAATATGGAGCTTTCTAAAAGCTTTTCAGGTTTTTTCTAAAAACACTTTTTAAAAAATTAGCTTTTTATCTTTAAAAAACTAAGGGTTTGTTTGATAACCCTCTTACCAGATCACTAAGAGGTTATCTCTAATCCGATCCAATAAGTGTGTTTGATATCATCCATTTTGTCTCTTACTCGGTCCACAATCAGTGCACAAGGCTCTTATTCGGTCCACTAAAATAAAAACGATGACTGAGTAGTTGTCCATATGTGTTTGTCTCCTTTTGAGCAACATCCTTCTCTTTACCCCATAGACGACTTCTTCCGGCATCTCCTCCGACCTCCGACATCTGCACCAACTCCTCCATCTCTGACCTACACCTTATCCGCCACCCTCTAGCATGACCTTTCCTGAGCTGTGGCCTCCATCCACAGGTAAGAAACACCCTCTTTTTTTCCTCCTTTTTCAGTTCAATTTTTCTGTATGTATTTTTTAGTTTGATTTTTCTGTCATGTATTTTAGATTCAAATCATGATTATTTCTCAAAATCAAGATTTGGGTGTTCGATTTTAAATTCTTGATTAACTCTAAAAGATTATTTCTCAATGTGAAAGTCAAATATATGATTGCTTTTATGATATGATGAGTACTAATGAGGATTTGTTACATTCATTTGCTCACTTTAGTATAGATAACTGTTGAATGTGATTTATTTCCAACAGGGTGCAAAGCAAGAGAGTGTTTCTGCTTATTAATTTAGAAGTTGGTTGGAATAGAGAGGTAAATGAGCATAATCATCAATAGAGTGGTAGACTTGAGGAAAACAGAACTTTACACAACATCATAAATGAATGGAAATATTATTTTTGTGAAATGATTCTTGAAACAGATGGAACAAACATTGAGAATAAAGGAAACATTAACCTTGATGATGTGGCTTAAGTAACATTGTGACAACATGAAGCGAATTCGAAAATTATGATATGTTTCTCCTAGATTTTCTAGGAAGCATAAGATAAAGGATAGTTTTGTAAAAGATTGTAAATATATGTATTTGTTTTATAAAAGGGTATTTTTGTCATTGTTAATTATATATATTCCATTCCTTTGTCGTTTTGTAAATATAGAATTTGTTATAAAAGGGTATTTTTGGCTATTTTATCAATTGAATAACACAAAAAATTGAATAAAAGGGAAAAACAATCATATTGAACAATTAGCACACTTGGTCAGAGGCGTAATCAAACAGTATGGTTTTAATTAGAGGTATAATCAATCAGAGCTTCAGATCGCATCTACTCAGTCTGATTGACTGACTCACTCAACAACTATCAAACAGCCCCTAAGTCAAACACTTTTTAAAACCAATTTATTGGCTTTTCAGCTTTTTCTACCATAAAAATTAACTCAAATACTTTTTAAAATTTGATTTTCCAAAAAGCCATAATCCAATAAGGATTTTTCATAAAAACATTTTTATGATAAAAAAGCTAACACACACCCTAAAAGTTGTCAAACGGTATATGAACCATTTTGTAGATCTTTTAAGACGGTTAGACTAGTAGGTGTGGACAACTAGTTAAGGGGTGTGAATGTGTCACCTTATATGTCATATCAAAATGGTGTTATAACACAAAATTGAGGAAATTAACAACTTGTTATAACATCTTTAATTTTCCATGTCATAATTTCTTTTTTTTAATCACATTGGATTAATAAAAAACGAAACAAGCAATTTAATTAACTCCTAGATTAACCATAACATTAAAAACATTTAAAAAAACAAAAAACAAAAAACAAAACAAAACAAAAAAAGCAAAAAACAAAAAAAAAATGTCCTAAAAACTAAAAACCGATCAATTGATCATCCAAATATTGTCTTTCGATTTTCTCTTTCATCTTCCGGAGCACTAGCGCTTCTCGTGGTCTCATATTTGTTTCGCTAGTCTGGAGAATTGCTAAATCTTTCGCAATTTGAGTAGGTTTTGCATTAGGGTGAGTTTGAGTTGAGCAGGTTCATATAACTTCTGTATTGTGCTAAACCTATCGAGATGGATGTGTTTGTGTTTGGAAGCGGGATGTTCAGGTTTTGCTCCATATTTGGTTGAAAGGAAAAGTGTTTTTTTAAAGTTGAAAATAGAATGAAGATGAGAAAAGATTGTGTAATTAAAATTTTATGTTTGTATGTGTATTTATATGTGAAATAAAAATATATATTTTTTTACATATTAGTAGTTCTCCAACGGTCAAAAAATGGACCGCTATACGTGTTATGAAACATTATAGGGGCAATGAAGAGGTAGCGACTTGGCTCACAACGGAGGAAAACAAAATGGGGTGGGGTGGGGGTGGGGGTTAGGGGTTGGGGGAGGGGGAGGGGGGTTCGTCGTTATAACGATGTTGAAGGGAAGCCACGTCAGAAAAACGATTGTGGGCGTTGCCCACACTGATTAACCAATTAGTCTTATGATCCAAATCCAACTAAACAAAAATCAACTTAAAACATGTAAATATAGCAAATTTGTCAAATAAAAAATAAAAATATAAGTTTGTTGATTCACAAAGAAGTATTAACATTTTTTATAAGTGGAATCAAAATGTTGTATATTTTTTAAAAATAACCCACAAAAAAAAAAACCTCCAAAATAAATACTCTTTATCACTTTCATGAAAAAAAAAAACCGGAATAATTTTTCTTAAAAGAAAAAAAAAATCCATTTGAGTTTTTATGTTGTAAACAGTCGAGCACAACCTAGATGTGCAAAGACTAGACACTCTTTCAATAAACCCTCAATCCCCTTCCTACCGCAGGAAGCCGCAGTTGTTTGTATTCGCTCCCGGAATACGTAATCCGATAGAATGGCGACCGCTGCCGACGTAGATGCGCTGGACTTTGAGCCCGATGACGATGATCTCATGGACGAAGACGCCGCCGTTGACGTCGATGCATCTTCTCCTAGGGCTTCCGCTCCCATCCCTAAACTGAAATCCGCTATCACTGGCGGCTCTGTCGCCGCCGCTCCTAAGAAAACTAAAGGCCGAGGATTCCGTGAAGAAACCGACGCCGAACGTAACAACCGTATGTCCGGTCGTTTCGATTCGCTTGATTCCGATGGCGGCCCTGGTCCTGAACGATGTAAGTTGTAACTTTTCTCTTTTGCCTCTAATTAATTCCTTCCGTGTAGGTTTTAAGTGTCCTCTAGAATAATGTCTACATTTAGTTTTTCAAATTTAGGGTTTTAGTTGCGTTGCTCTTGTTTCCCCCAATGCAAGTAGGAAAGTTACTTGAGGTTTCTCGTTAGGGTTTTTTGTTGATGTTAAAAATTCTAGGGTTTTGAAATCGTTTAAAGGTAGATTGCTATCATGGAAAATCGGACTTGGCAATTTGCCAACCCTTTTTTTATCATTGATTATAATAAATTTACGAATATCTGCAGCAATCGAGGGATGGATTATTCTGGTTACTGGGGTACATGAAGAAGCCCAAGAAGACGACTTACAAAACGCATTTGGGGAGTTTGGTGAGATTAAGAACTTGCATCTAAATCTTGATCGCAGGACTGGTTTTGTCAAGGTATTGTGATATTATTTTTTAGTAAGTTGTGTTTTCTTGATGTATGAAGTATGGAAGTGGCAAAGTTGTAATTTGGCTTTATACTGCAACAGGGGTATGCACTGATTGAGTATGAAAGCTTTGAGGAAGCAGAGAAAGCTATAGCTGCAATGGATGGAGGTGAGCTGCTGACTCAGAATGTGAATGTTGATTGGGCATTCAGTAAAGGTCCTTTCAGAAGGAGAAACAACAGGAGGAGGTATATATAATTATATATTCCTATTTCCTCTTTTTATTATGTCTTCAAATTTCAACATATGAAATAAAATGCATGTTTTAAGTTTCATTTTTTGTGTAGCTAATGTGCTTTGTTATAACTTATAATATGCCAGATCACCTCGTGGGAATCGGTCAAGAAGTCCAAGGAGGAGATTTTGATTTGGTGGGGTCCGGTTCATGAATGTGCGAAGGATTTGTTTAAGTTTTTAGGTTGAAACTTGAAAGTGAGTAAGTTTAACTTGACTAATTAATTGTGTTTGATTTGCTTTTGCCTTTGTTTGGATGTTTGTTACTTGTTAAGGCTCAAAGTTTTACTTATCTCGTGTATCGTATGCATATGGTTTGAAGACAAGAAGCTTTTTTCTTTTTGCACGTTGTAATGAGTTTGATGTATTTTGTATTTCAACACAAGATCATGAGAGAGAGAAATATGACTGTTTATGGTGTGATTCATTTACTCTTATATTTATGTCATTCTGTGAGAAAAAAGAAGTTTCAACTTCAAAACAAATGAAATTGCAACTACTAGATGACAAAATTGCATGAATGGTCCTTGTATTTAGGTCGAAATTGCCATTTTGGGCCAAACAGCTTTGGACTAGCACTTATGGTCCAAAAGCTTTTATTTTCTTGTCATTTTGGTCCACTTTACTCTAAATTTTTTTGTAATTACAATTTTGTCCTTGGATTTTGTTTTTTCAATTTCTCATTTTTTTAAATATTTTTATAATTAAAATAAAAATAAAAAAATACATCTCTCTCTCTCTCTCTCTCTCTCTCTCTCTCTCTCTCTCTCTCTCTCTCTCTCGTAGACATCATTCTCCTACACCATCACTCCCTGATGAACACTAAATTGTGAAGATTAACTTCAACTTCTTCCCCACTGACTATTAGTTTATGGATAAGCTGAAAGGGTTGACGGAGAGCAAACTAAACCAAAATCAATAACAAAACTAAAACCAGTTTCCAAAAAATCAAAGTGGTGGCTCTGATGAAATCTAAAGAAGGAAGAAGTGGGAACAAGATCATGAACCAGATCGGAGTTTGCATTTGTTGGTGGTTAACGATTCGATATCAAAGTAGTGGGAAATCAAACATGTTTTCATCGTCACCACCACCCGAATCAATTTTTATGTGTGACAGTCAAACCCAAATTTTTTTTTTTTGTTCTGATGAACTGACCTTCACCACAATCTAAATTGATTTTTGTGTGTGAAACTCGAACCAAAACAAACAGCAAGATCCAGATTCCAAACAGAAGGGAGGGAAGGATGTTGAGAGGAGATGTAATCGACTTTGATGATCTTTTCCCCCAATCCAGAACTAAATGTGTGTGTGTGTGTGTGTCAATTTCCAAATCTTCCTTTGTTATCATCAACTTACAGAAGATCAGAATCTGATTACTCCCATCAATTCCATTAATGTTGTCTGTGTCTCCTTACTTCCTTCTTCAAACTCAATTGTAGGTCACACTTAAGAAGACAAATAAAGCGACCCTTTATTTTATTTTATTTTCCTTTTTTGTTCGATAATTCTCTGTTCAATCACAACCCCTCAATCATCAACCTTCTTCTTTCTTAATATTTTTTGAATTGCAGTTTGATCAGAAGAGAAATGGAAGAACAAGGAAGATGGGGATGATGGGTTCTTGATGGTGATGCTTTTTTATGGTGGGTTGAAGGTGAATATGATAGTGACTGTGTGAAGGCTCGATTTTTCTTGGCACAATTGGTATTTTTGGTGGTTTGGCGGTGGTTATGGTGGTGACCAAATGATCTACTTTGATAGAGATGGGAGGGGAGTATCGGGCGTTCTTCATGTTCTTAAAGGTGGATTTGTATGCTTGTGTGTGAAATGAGAGAGAGAGAGAGATGTGTATTTATTTTATTTTTATTTTAATTATAAAAGTCTTTAAATAAGTAAATAATTGAAAAAACAAAATCTAAAGGCAAAATCATCATTACAAAAAAGTTTAAAGTAAAATGAACCAAAGTAGCAAGAAAATGAATTGGACCAGAAGTGCTAGTCCAAAGTGGCAATTTCACCTAACCACAGGAACCATTCTTGCAATTTTGTCCTAGATCATAACACTAGCTTATTGTTATGTAGAAAAGAATAATAGTTGTTTATTGATATGTACATTACACATGATATCTCAAAATGAAATTGTTAATCGATCATTAAACACACACACACACACAAAAAAAAACACACAAAAAAAAGGTAATTTTTCCGATGACAAGGAAGACAGATTTTAGTTTGTACATAATGTCACAAAGTGGCTAACAAATACTCTTATCAAGTCGTTTATCTTTTTAATCGAACATATTAGTAATAATAAACATTCAGAAATCCCATACTACACACCCAACAAGATTTTATTTATCTATTAATAGTAGTCATAAAATTCATGATAAATAATAAATTCAAAAGGTATTCGCTAATATGAGTGGAGAGATTTTTGCAATATGATGAAAAAGTGCATTTTTGCATACCTACCCATTAAATATCCCATGCAATTTACTAACACTATACACACTTATCCAATTCTAGCTCCAAAATTTCACAAAAGATAAACCATTTATCACTCATTTCCTCATTTTATACCACCAACAGCCACAGACACCTCTCTCCTTTCATCCACAAGAGATATGTTTTCATCTTCTTCATCATCATCTTCATCTTCATCTTCATCATCATCATCATCATCATCATCATCATCGAAACGAATATTGTTGTTAATCACTATATGCTCATTGATAGAATCATCACTCAATCCAACTAACTTACTAGCTTCTGCTTTCTCTTCAACTGAATTAGCCAAAGACAAAAGAATATTCTTTGCTTTTTTATCAGGAACAACCCCACAAGACTCCATCTCTTTAAACCAAATCACAGCATCTCCAAAATCTCTATTCTTCCCATACGCATCCATAATTGTAGTAAAAACAGTCTCATTCCCCTTAATACCATGTATCTGCATCTCCTCATACTTCTTCATCATTGTTTCAAGATCATTAATCCTTGCATAACCTTTAATCAAAGTCCCATATGTAACAACATTAGGCTCAAGTCCATCTTCCTTTATCCTTCTAAAAAATCTCTCAGCTCCCTCCATATCAGATGCATTCACATATGTCGACAACATAGTTGTGTATGAGCAAAGATCCGGTGTACATCTGCACACCATAACATAATTTAGTCCGTATCTTAATCTCTTGTTTTTTATATAAAAAAAGACGAAAATACCCTTCTCACCTGTCTCTTCGCATACTCTTGAACACAATCTTGGCCTGATCCACCATTCCAGATATTGCAAATGCATCAAGCAAGATGTTATATGCTTTTTGTGTTGGCCTAAAACAAAACAGAGTAAAAAATATAAAACCCATAAAGTTTTTTTTTTTGTTTTTGTTTTAAATTATGAATTAAAATTACCTTACACCAGCATCAAGCATTTCTTCAAAAACAGCTAAAGCTTCTTCTTCTCTTCTGGCTTTTCCATAAGCACTAATGAGTAGGGCATAGCTGACTACATCAGGGCGGACCCCAGCTCTATGCATCTACATGCAATATCAAAAGATATAAATATAAAATAATATAAAAATGAATTAACTTTTTTGTTTTATATTACCTGATCATAGACTTTGGCAACCTCTTTATAGTTAGATTCGTATGACATCAAGCTATTATAAGTCACTGAGGTTTGCTGGAGTCCTCTTTCATTCATCATTGAAAATAGCCTTCTAGCTTTATCATTGCTTCCTGCTTTTTTGTACATATAAATCATCATGTGAAACATCTGTTGATCTGCTTTCAAAGATGACACCTCATCTGTCAAAATGCTTTCAAAAATTTCTTCAGCTTCTTCAAACTTGTCTGCCTGCAACATCCATAAGATGAGGTTCAAAATCTAAAAACACAAATAAGAAAAAAGAAGAAGAAGAAGAAGAAGAAGAAGAAGAAGAAGAATGGAATGCCTCAACAAATATCTTGAGAATTATTTGATATGTTACAGCAGAAGGTTCAGGTCCTGAAGATTGCATCCTTCTGAATATTGCTTCTGCTTTGTTGCATTGACCTCCTTTTCCATAAGCTTCCATAAGAGCAGTATGAGATATAACACTTGGTGGATAACCTTTCTTGTTTATATAACTAAAAACCCTTTCTGCTTTGTTGAAATCCCCTTCTTTTCCATAAGCAGTAATCAGCATCAAAGCATCCATTTCATTGAAATTCCACCAATGCTGAGTTCGAAGCCACTCAAGAATCTACAACAGCATTACAAGCAACACCAAACCCTAATGAATAATCCAATAACTTAATCATATGATAAAGTTGTACAATTAACAGTGATCATGTATAATTAATACCTCAGCAACAATATTCCATTTCTTTTGCTGTTTAAATCTAACTAAGGTTCCTAAAACTAGATCTTTAGGAAGAGGTTGGTTTTTTGTTCTTCGTGTTCTGAGCACAGAAACTGCAGAGCCCACCTCATCGATTTCATTCATCATCTTCCTCCAGCTCTTTTGATCTTCTTCATCAGCAGCATCTTCAAAAACTTCTATCTTTTTCCTTCTCTGCATAAATTTTCTGGGTGCCAACATGCCTTGGCAGACCACCCTTGCTCGTCTTTGGCCATTGAAGTTGGGGTCAACGCGATATATGCTAACAATCTGCTTACTAGAGTGTTCAAGTATGTTAGCCTATTACAGTGAGAACTTACTTAAAAATCTTATTAGTGTACAACAGCAATGGAATCCTTAGAACAATGAAGATAAGATGCATTCTTTACAAAATCATATCAATTTTCGTGTAATGTGACAGAAATTGGGTTATAAATAAACTACAAACCCTGCTAATTGATGAAGGTAGCCAAACGCTAGCGACAGAATTGAACTAATCTCATTTTAATAGGAAAACAAAACGATATTATCGACTATATGAGAAAGATCAAGTGCAGATAAGGGTAAATATGAGAAATGATTGCTTACTTGATATGTGAAACGAAAGAATGACCGCGACGAGGAATGGGGAGAGTGTGAGAGAGTGACGCGGCCATTTTATTTGTCAGTTCCCGTCCGTCTGCCGGCAATTGTTACGGCGGTGAAGAGGATTGTACGGTGGTTGCGCGCGTTCGGGGGCAAGTAGAGCGACCGTGTGACGGCGTCGCCGGTTGGATAATTGAACTGAGAGGTCGCTGTAGCAACAGGATAGGATATTTGAGAGAGGTTTAGACAGGGGTTTTCACTAGATGAACAAAAAGATAATGGATGCCTGCGCAAACCAATACTACCTTACAAGAAATAAGAAAGCTATTTTGTTATGTATAATTTAAAAAACTTAATTTTTATATAATATTTAAATATAATAATTACAACCTATGTAATTTTATAGTTATTTTCAATTAACTTTTTTCCCTATGATATTTTGTGGGTTTTTTTTTTTTTTTTTTTTTTATTTTATTAATTTCTACATAATATTTAAATATAATAATAAATTACATATCAATTTCATTAATTGATTTCTTTCTAATTTCAAATTTTATAAAATAAAGCTTCATTAGTTTCATTTGTTTATTTTTCTAAACTATTTGTTTAATTTAAAAAAAAATTAAACAATTTAATTTTAATAATTCAATATTTTACTATTTTTTTCTTATAAATTCAAACTTCTCAAATATTTACAATTTCATATTTTTTATTCTTTAAAATGAACATGTATAATACATGGGTCTTACACCTAATAACTTTATTATACGACTTTAGTTAAATATTTTCCAAAGTTACAAACTCCATTAAAAAAAATCTAATATATAATCTAATAAATGAATTTTTTTGTCACATGTCACATTCTTATTGATTTAGCCACATGTTACATTCTTATTGATTTGGCCACATGTCATTTTGTGGTTATTTTCAATTAAAATTTTTTTATATGGCATTTTGTGGTTTTTCCATTTTATTAAATTCCACATAATATTTAAATATAATAGTTGCAATAAATATAATAATAAATGTATATCAATTTCAATAATTGACTTTCCTTGTAATTTTAATATTTTTAAATTAAAACTTCATTAGTTTCCTTTGTTTATTTATATAAACTATTTGTTTGAATTTAAAAGAGAAAAAACACTTTAATAATTATAATTCAACATTTTTCTAATTTTTCTTATAAATTAAAACTTTTTCAAATATTTAGAATTTTTATATTTAATTTTCTTTTTAAATGAAACTCATGTAATATATGGATCTTACACCTATTCATCTCTAATAAATGAAAGTTTTTTTTTTTTTTTTTTTTTTTTTTGTCATTTGTTACATTCTTATTCAGTTTGTCAAATGTCATTTTGTGATTATTTTGAATTATTATTTTTCCATATTTCATTTTATGAGTTTTTTCTATTTTATTAATTTCCACGTAATATTTTAATGTAATAATTATAATAAATGTAGTAACAAATGGATATCAATTTCATAGTAAACTTACCTTTTAATTTCAAAAATTCAAAAATTAATGTTTATTAGTTTCTTTTATTTATTTAAATTTATAAAAAAAACATTTTCATTATAATAATTTATTATTTTTCTTATTTTCTTATAAATTCAAAGTTTTTAAATATTTTGACATTCATTTTTAGTTTTTTTTTTTTTTTTTTTTTTTTTTAAATTAACACATGTAATACATTGATCTTACAACTAATCGTATAATAAATAAAAAAGTTATTTTGTAAGTTTTCATGTAGAAAAAAAAAACTTAAAATAACTTTATTATACAACTTAGTTAAATGTTTTCCAAAACTGGGATGAGCAACAGACCAAATCCAAATTGAACCGACACGAAGACCGAAATCCCGAAACCCAAAATTCTTGAATATCCTAACAGAAAACCAAACCGTTTTAAATTGTGTCCGTTTGGGTTTCAAAACCTTAATTAGGATTCGGTTTTTGGACCAAATTGTAGTATTTGTTGGGCTAATTATAACTTTTGGCACCACATGGTTCATATATTCTATTTGTTGGACATCTTTTTCTAATTAACTATTTGGTTACTATGATTTTAAGTCTTCAAAATCATTTTTTTAGTTTTTTGGTACTCTATTTATGTATATTATCATTTAATTATTTCATTGTCAAATACTTGTCCGATACTAAAGAGTAAAGTTAGATTATTTATATTACATTTTTCATGTATCATTTCTATTAGATAATCAAATTTTATTGAATGCTCAACGTTACTGTTAATAATCCTTGATGGCTAAGTACTAACTGATATTTATTATTCAATGCAATACGTCGACCAAAAAAAAAAAACTTTTGTTTTCGATTCGGGCCGGGTAAAAACGTATATTTTGGGTGTGGTCCAATCCAAACCCAAAAACCGATTTATGTTAAAAATTAAAATCGAAACTGGTCAAGTTAGATGTGTTTTCGGTGCAGTCCTGATTTCTTTTTTTTTTTTTTTTTATTCGGACCGGTTAGACAAATCATATGCTCGTCCCTGTTCCAAAGTTATAAGCGCCACTAAAATTCTAACATCTTACTAGAAATAAGAAATTTTGTTAAGTTTTCATGTAGAAATAAAATAAAATAAAAAAACTTAGAAATTAGAAATATTAGAATTTGAAAGTTATGAATCCTATTAAAATATTAATTTTTATAATGTAAATTAATAAGTGGTTATATATATATATATATATATATATATATATATATATATATATATATATATATATATATATATATATATATATATATATATATATAATCCCCAAATTCATGGTCATTTTAAAAATTTTATTTATACTTATTTTAAAATCAGAGTATCATTTTTGTAGAATATTATTGCGGAATTTGTACCAAAAATATGATAAATATATTATCAAAGCATTTCCGAAAAAATATATTTTATTTATATTAAAACATTTGAATGTCATCGTCAATACATAAACATAAGCATAAAAGATATTACGTTCATTTACACTAATGATTTACATCTTTTTTATTCTCTCAGTGTGATATATCTTCGCATCGATACTTGTGATACCAATAAAATGAGTGAGTCAGATTGGAAAACCTAGTGAGTACATAGGGTTTTCAACCCACAATAATATAGTTAATTTGTTTATTTACATATTTCATGTCAAACAATTAACCCGATTACCTATCCCTATTATCTTCTTTTTTCTTAATGATCTACCCTAGGAATCATTTATTCTTCATTCATTCATTCCTAAGGAATAGACACGAAGTCCATCGTTGTCAAGGTTTATCCAACTGGCACTAAGTCTATAGTTGTCGATGTTATCTGTTAGGCACAACTGCCAATGTTCATCTATATGACACTAAATCCATAGCTGTCAAGGTTTATTAATAAGGCACTAAGTCCATAGTTGTCGGGGTTTTTAGAGTGCATCTGATGAACACTTCGTTCACAAATACCTACAGGTTGCGATTCTGCTAACGTTCCACAGGATTGTCTAGAATAATCCGTGGTTATCATCTATATTTTCTGCTAGATGACACCATCATTAAGGTTAAAGCTTCTTATCATCTTACACATCTCATCATCTATATCATCTTTCATTTCTCGTATTTTTTCACATCATCTCTCATCTAACCATCTTTACCCAATATATTTATAGGTATAAAAATACATATACAATTTAAATTAAATAAAACATGTATCAATCGTTCATCCAACATATATATCCAGAACACAGATAATATGTACACATAGCACATAGTTTATATTAAATACTCCATATCTATGTGTAAGATGAAAGTAAATATGCCCTCACTTGTTAAAGGGACGACTCAAAATTCGGGCAGCGCTTTGCTTCTAACAATCATCTTTTTCTCTGACGAAACCTAACACTGTTATCAATATATTTTAGTCTAATATTTATTGTGACTAATTATTAGTCTAAATTTATTATTAACCTAGAGTCTACTTTCATGATCTATCAAGTAAGGATCAACCAAGTAGGACTGTTAGGAGGCAGGACCATTTTAGAATATAGCTTTTCTGAAATCCAACAACCAAGCCAACATGACTGTTATAGACACCTCTCCCATAAGTAGATCAATCGGTATAACGACTTTGAATCACTGATAAATTTTGTTTATAGGTTCATAATAATGATAATGAACTTAAACATAAGTTATACTTGAAGTACGATAAGCATAATTGACTTATTGGGGAGGGGGGTATCGAGGAATCGGGCTCTGCACGGGCAGAACTTCTGAGTCGAAAGCTCTTCTTCTCAGAGACTTATGACGCTCCGGGCTTCGCTACTAACACCTAGGAGGTGCTAGAGAAAAACTCTTAGGACCTTGGGGGGTTTGGGAGAGAATGGAGCTGAAAGATGTGAAGGATTGAATGATTTTCGGCTCTATTTATAGGTTGTCCATTGGCCTCTCACGTCGTGAAACATGCCTCTCACGTTGTGAGTCTTGTGTAGGCCCCGAGGCTTCGTCTGGTGCTGACACGTGACACAGGACGCATGTAAAACATCCAATCTTAAAAAATTCATAACGTTGGCATATGAGCTTCGTTTTTTACGTTCTTTATATCCACGTGTAGGTATTGACAAAATCTACAACTTTCTTTTTGACCCTATTGGTTAATTCTTGAGTGATCTTAAATTTAATAGTCTGATAAGATTATACTGTTAATGACCGTGTAAATTTGATAACTTTTACGTACTGACTCCGTTTTCGGCTGTCTTTTTATCTTTGAAGTCCTGTTAATGAGATCTTCAATTCTCATTTCGATCAGTTTGGCTAAAAATCAATCTATCTAAAATTCGATTTCTGAGTTGTATAGTGCTACGCTGAAACTTTAAAAAATCATAACTTCCTCGTACGAAGTCATATTTGGACGTTCTCTACATGCACGCTCTCGGTTTAAGTCTACTATGACTTTAGTTTAGATTACTAAGGCTAAAGAATAATTTATCAAAAATTCACTTTTTACATTACACATAGTCGTGCCAGTATAATCGCGAAACCTTGACGGATCATAACTTCGTCGTTATAAGTCGGGTTTCAACGTTCTTTATATGTACATAATATTTGTGACATATACTATAACCTTGGTTAAGATTATTTAGAAAAAAGTCATCTTTGACGAATTTTTCAAACCAAGAACTCGTTAAGAACTCATTAAGAACTCGTCCACTACTAAGATGAGGGACAAACTCACTAAGAACTCGTCCACTACAGAGGGAGGAAGAAAGATGACGGATTTTTCAAACTAAGGTGCAAGGAATGATGAGAATCCTAAGGTCCTATTTATAGTATTTGATCCCTTTCTTGGTTTTGTTCTCCATCCAATGTGACATAGGAGGAGATTTCAAAATTCACTCTTCATCCCATGTAGGATGAGGCGATATCGTCCAACCCCTAATTTCATAAAGGTTCTGAAATATTCACTCAACCAACTATTGATTAATTAATATTAAACCCTTTAATTAATCAAATTGTTTAATTAATTCCCAAAATATATTTTTGATTAGTTTCTAATTAATTATTAAACCATAATAACTAATAAAGTAATTTATCCTTTATTTATTCTACTCACTTTGAGTCTTGAGAGAAACCCAAGAGGACCCTGCTATTATTAGAAATTTCACCAATAATTAATGGCCTTATACATTCTTTCCAATTTTTACAATCCACTTCCCATAAAAAGGTTTCCGTCCTTAGAACCACCTTTTTACACATTTCATAGTTTAAGTTTATGTATGTGCATTCCAAATGTAATACACTTAAACTATGGCTTTGATACAATTTTGTAACACCCCATACTTTTAACAATAATGTTAGCAATATGGTTTCACAAACGTGTAACATCCGAATCCTCGAGGTACGAAAAATTAAGTATAGTATGGATTTGAGGGTGGCCACGATGCGAGGAAAGTATTGTCACGTTGTGACATGTCCGCGTTATGTGGAAAGGATTATTTAAGTGTCACATGACACTATAAGGGTCATGACGTGATGCCCGATCAACTGTAAAACCTTAAATTTTTTGACCTGGGCCCTATTTAAAGGACGTGAAGGGCTAGGGTTTCCTTCACCTTCAACCTCTATCACCTCCAAACCTATAAAAGAAAACTCTAACCCTTCTCCTCAAATTTTGGGCCCATTTTGGTGCTTGTGTTCGCTTTTGAAGAAAGGAGTCCTTAGAAGTGTAATGAATGTATTGGCTAGCTTGGATCTTCATTTTAAGCAAGTTTGGACCTTTGTAAGTGTCCACGGTGTAAACTTTCTTATGCTAGGTTGCTAGATCTAAGGGTTTGTCCCATTTTCTTCATATACGAATTGGAATGGTAGGATTCCATAAGTTTAGAAACTTTATGGATCTTGAGGTCCTTTGTATATCATATGGATCAAATCTGGAAATTAAATGTGTATTGGACCCATGCATCTGAGCTTTGGTGATTTTGTTTTCTTCATTTTGACCCAATATGAGATCTAGATATGCATGTCTATAAAACATTGATTTTTAGGATGATTTTATAGTTATAAGGCCCTTTAGAAAGTTGGAATAATGCCGAGTGATTGAAAACCATATGTATCTCATCAGGCTTCCCAACCTAACCCACTTATTCTATATGCATCACAGGTAGCGATGTTAAGACTGCTGAATATTTGAATATGATGCTGAGTGATTGAAGAGAAGACCCACCATAGTATTTTAGGGTCGTTAGGTATTTACGCTGTAACATATACTGTGTATCAATTATAACATCCTTAGAGTTTTTATTATTTTGAAACAATCATTTGTACTAAAAAAGATTGCAATATAATAAGATTTTTCGCAAATAAAGATGTTATGACTTTTTAAAGCGTAAAGATTTTTTTTTTCGATTCTGGAAAATAAGGGATGTCACATGAACGAACATATGTAATAGTTTTATTGTTCAATAACAATCCATGCAAATATGAGCTATCAATTCTATATAGTTATTTCTCCATAAAACGATATTCGTTATATATACAGTCATATTTATTGAATAATGACTTTTCCTTATTCTTACTATGTAATACCATCACCTAAAATTGATGGTCATTTAGGGAACAAGGCGTACAAATGAGATGCTATATATGATGTTTCATTATTAACGTCTATTTAAACAAATCGAGAAACTTAGGGTACTTAAAACTCACTTTGATCTTGGAAACCAAACGACACATTTTGACTCATTACATATCTAAAAGTTCATGTATCTTACTAATATGATCTTTAGGATGCATAAATTTCTAGTACCGATAATTGCTTATTAAACCAAATATCCTTGGACATATTACCTATCTTCAGGAAGAGACAAGACTCGATCATTTTTACTTTTTTTGTTTAAGATCTCTTTTAATAGAACTATGCGTTGGAATCTAGAATTTGCTTCCATCCTCTGACATGTCATAAATCTAACATTCACACTCGTTCATAAATTTTAATCACAACAAACTTGCCAAACGAACAACCACACTAATATGCTTATGCTTATACCATTAGGGCTAACATGACTATTGTATCCTATCCAAGAACCCCATGTATGTTGCACTTGACCTTTTTAACACATTTCGATCAATAAATATAAATGCAATTGAATATGAAAAGTTATGTTGTTATAATTATCCAAATGGTTGTGTTGTTTTAAAAATATTTTATAAATCCAAGTTTAAATTTCATCTTTATCTTTATCTATAGCCTAATATATTATCAGTGACAAATAAGGAAATGAATTGAATGCCAACATTTTTATCTAGGCCAATAAAGGGAATTACTTGATGAATATCTATTTGAAAGGAAATATGGTAAATACAAAGGGACAAAAATCGATGAAATTCAATATTTCAGGTACTATTTATGTCGTGACCAAAACTTTTATGAGACATATCTGGGCGGGAAACCCCGACTACTAATATCGATCCCTCAATCTCTCCCCTTCGCACACCGTTCACTCTCTCTCTTTCTAGGTTTTCTCACTCTAAAACAATGAACGAAAATGGACAGGAGTCGTCTCTTTCGGATTTTGAAGCCGCTCGGAGTAGTCTTCGACAGCGTTGGGAGTTGGCTTCTGTTCTCAATTTCTTCAAGGTAATCTTTAGGATTTTTGATTTGACTACTTTTCAAAGTTCCATTTTTCGTATTTAGTTTGTGTAGAACGATCTACATTTGTTTTGTGCATTATGCTTTTATGAAAGATCAAGCGTAAAACTCAAAATCTCACTCGATAAAACTCGACTGTTTAATAAAAACCTAGAACTTTTTGTGGTGGGGGGCGTAGGGATAGAGAGGAACGACGGAGGGGATCATTAAAATACATCAAATATAAAAATTCATAGAACTTAGAGGAAACGTATGAAATTCAAATAGGGAGAGAGCATTTGAACGAATGCCAAATTTGCAACGAGTTTGATTGGCAACAGCGTTTGTTTTCAAATTTCATTGCATCGAGTGTGCAATCTGCCAAACTACGTCTTAGAGAGCACATAAAGGGTAGCATACTAGACTACTAGTATATGTATATAACCCTATGTATGTGTATAAATGGATATGGCTACTGAACTTTTGAATGATTTTGACATAGAATGGGTATCTGAAGCCTATAGAAATATTGAAGATGGTTATATGATAATATGAAGCCTGAACTTTGGAATGATTTTGACATGCAACTACGCATATATATAGTTCGTTTAGTTAATTTACTATTAAATGAAACGAAGTTATATCATTTAGTCTACAAAGTTTGCATCTTATTTTTGGCAGCTAGTATATTGAGTCTCAATAGGTAGGCTTTCTGTTAGATCGGTCATTATGTACACATATGGTTGTTCTAATGAATTTATAGCTTCCATTATATACAAACAAATACACAATCTTGAATTATCTAACATGTTTTATATAGGTGTTTGAGCCTGTTATAGAAAGTAATCTGAAGATTTCTGCTGAAGAGATTGAGACATCACTCATTCAACCAAACAAATCTCTTGCTCAGATTCACATATCACTCTTAAAGGTTCTTTCTTTTTTCTCAACTGTTCACTAAATTCTAACTTCACCCTCTTTTTTGGCATTAATGTCATTTTTGTGTTTAATGATAATGATATCTTACAACCATCAGTCTAAGATAATAGTACCACATAGATGCTTCGCATCGGATCATTCTTGTCCTGTTGTAATTAATAAGCTGCAGATATGTACAAAAAGAACACGAAAAAAGACTGCATATATTGTACATAAGAGAACAAATATTTATTCCAATCTTTTTTTACTTACTTTATCTCCTCCCATAATGCTGAACAGGGAATCCCACCTGTAAGTAAAAACCTAAAAGATCCAGATGCTTGGGTTGTAGCACTCTCTAAGAAGCTCAGCATGTGGTGGCCATGGGTACGCCACTCATTAATTTATACTTTCCAAAACCCTAATTCTTTAACTTTCTTCTTTAAAATAACTTTAAGTAATTTGATCTTCAGGTTGCTGAGGGTGATTTTCCATTAACTGCAGCCAAAGGGTACTTTTATAGTTTTATTTTCTTTCATAAAAGTCAACCACCTAATTCATATTAATTTCAACTAAACTCTAAATTCTTTTCTCCTATAGGGCTGAAATGGAAACATACAAGAAACTTGACCCCACAATTCGTCTTGTAATCCTTAAAGCACTCTGTGAGATCAGAGCTGATGTATCATATCCTCAAACCCTTCTTTTTTCCCTTTCTTTATATATGAAAAACTTAGTATTTAACCATTTTATATTCTTTTGTTTTTCTTCACAGCAACATGATGTGGTGTCATACATTAATGAAGGAGTAAAAATCAAGAATGAGATGTCTACTTTCAGAAAAATAAACATTGGTGATGATGGAAAAGGCACTTCATATTGGTGTGATGGAGATGAAGTTATTGGTTTTAGATTGTACAAAGAAATAAATACTTTTAAAAAAACTGGAACAGAAACAACTGTTGGTTGTATATGGGAAACACTTGCAACTAACCTACAGGAGTTCCAGAAAGTTGTGGTAAGTTTAATTTTTTTATAAATCATTTGTCAAATCAGAATTGTGAAATCTTGGCTTATTAAATTGATAAATTTTAAAATTAATGGTTATTGCAGGATGAATACTCATCAAGTAAATCAAAACCTGAAGTTGCTGTTAGTGTTGTAGTTGAAACTGAAATCATGCCTGTTCTTAATAAACTTGAGAAGGTTTGTTGTCTTTTTTATGATTCTATCTATATTTTTTTTAAATTCACATGATATGATGATAAATAAGGTGTTTTTATTTTTTAATATCAAATTTTGGTCCATTTACAGAAAAAACAAAAAGCATTGCAGAGGAAGAGGCATGAAGAGAGGATTTTGAATAATTTCTGTAGAGTTGGAACCACACGTTCCTGTCGTAGATCTAAACCTGTCAGTTACACTTTTGGTATGTAAAATGACCTTTTTGCCCTCATCTTCTTTATCGAAATCCAAAGTTGAACTAATCAGAAACAATACTTTTTGCAGATGAATATGACAAGGTCATTAATGAAGCCATACGACAAACCAAGTAAGTTGCATTAATTACTATTAATCTTATTTTATTTTCTTCCATCAATATAATATCACTAAACCTGTAAAGCTGCATGATCAGGAAAATGAAAACCAAAGAAGAACAGAAGAATCAGAAAAAAGTAAGTTCAGTGAAGGAGGATTCACATTCAGAGAAAGATCAGGATGATGATGAGTCCACTGAATCTGACTCTGAGAACAGCAAGCTTGAAAATGGAAATGTTTCTGAAGATAGCAGCCAGGATTCTGGTGAAGAATCACATGAAAACAATGAAGAAGAAGAAGAAGAAGAAAACAATGATGATGAAAAAGAAGAAAGTGATGATGAAGAAGAAGAAGAAGAAAACAATGATGATGAGGAGGAAAAGAATGGGAATGATAGCAGTGAAGATGAGTTAGTTGAGAAATCTGAAATTGAAAATGGAAATTTTGTTGGGAAAAAAAGAGGTAGGAATGATGATGATGATGATGATATGGAAGAGATGAGAAACTTTGGTGCAAAGAAAAGAATGAGGCAAAGGCCAAATCGTAATTCAGCAATTGAATCCTCCATTGTTCCTGATTCTGAGGATGAAAGTTGTTCTGGAAATAGTGATAGTTAGAAATGGTATGTGTATAGTTTCACATGGAGGATTTGGTTTCGTATTGAAAATAAAATACGAGTTTTGGAATTAATTTTTTTGGAGTAGAGGAGAAGGATTGTAGTATTTAAGAGCATCCTATCGAGGAAGAGGGTAGTAGAGAGGTATATTGATCATTGGATCCATGTTTTTTTTTGTTGTTGATTGATTGATAGGGTCATAGGATTTGTGGTTTTGTTTTATAAGGATTGTGGTTGTATCTTTTTGAGCCTAATATCATGAAATGGCATAGTTCAAAGTTCAAATGGTGTGTGTGCACCTTTAAGATGCATTTGATGTGGAGTTGTGTTTTCAAGAGGTGAAAGGAATTGTCTTGTATGGGTTCCATGTTTAGAAAATGAAATATATATTTAAAGTTACAAATGAGATCTTCACAAGACTAAGTTATGGTATCACTTCATTTTTGATTAGAAAGTCATGTTTTTATATGAAAGTATATTATTGAATTGATGAAAATCTTGCTAGATGGTTTGTGGAGTACTTTGGATCTTTTTATATGGCATGTGGTAGATGTATAGTAGATTTGAAGCAAAGAGGGGATGATATTTACAAATTAACAAAATGAGGAGAAGACAAAGGTCTTATTTAGAAGTTATCTCTAGTCTGGCTCTACATTTGACCTCCTTTTATCCATGACTTTTTGTGATTTGGCTTTTGTTGTTTGAATGTATAATGGTATTGGTTGGTTAACAAATTGTTTCTAAGGCTATAAGGAATGATAGCATTTCTAGCATGCTACCGCATTAGATTTTTTAAAGCCACATAAGATGAAGATAGCTGTAACATCCAAATTATAAAAAATAGAGTGATAAAATCTAAATGTTGTGTTATTTTTATATTGGAAAAAAATAAAATAAAAAAAGAAGCATGCCAATAATAACCCTTTCTCTTCTCTTTCTCTTTCCTCTTACTTCCCGGCTGGTGAGCCAACCTTAGTGAGACATGTAGCGTGTTTGATGGGACTCGTAGAGTCCAGCTCCCAGCAAAGGCCACTTCCTCAACGTAACAAGGTTCTGAGTTCAAAAGTAGACATATATCAACTCCATTGTTTTTTTTAAATGTTTTTTCCCCTTGCCTCACTCGGGAACTCTTATCACAAATGAATACCACACAGAAAAATCAAGATCAGACTCCCTAATGGAATGTTTAACCGAGGGATAATGACTTAGAAGGGTAATAGGGTTTTTAGTTTGTCCGTATTAGGTCACTAAGGTTTTTTTTTGTGCGTATTAGACCAATATGATTGTTATTACCGTTTAGAAATAGTCCTTTTACCGGTTTTAACGGTTAAAAATGACTATTTCTAAACGGTAATAACAACCATATTGGTCTAATACGCACAAAAAAACCTTAGTGACCTAATACGGACAAACTGGAAACCTTATTACCCTCCTAAGTCATTAACCCTAATTTTATAGACATTGAGAATATATGGCCATCAACAGTAAACTACTTCGTTTAGAACTCGCGTCGTCCCATATAACCTGCTACTCCTCTATATGGCGAAGCTCTTCATCTATAGTCGTCCCTTTGGGGACATCCGATAAAATTGGAACGATACAAAGAAGATTAGCATGGCCCCTGCGCAAGGATGACACACACAAATCGAGAAATGGTCCAAAATATTTTTTAACCCTTCGTCGTCTTCTCTGGAACCCTAATTCCCTTTTCAAATGCTAATAGAGTTCAATTGCAATTCTTACGTTTCAATAGTTCATCTACTGAAGTCATGATCATACAACATGTTGATTCTATGGTTAGATTGATCTTCTTGTTGATGTCTTCAACAATTTGTGGCAAGTAAGGGTGATCTTTCTTTTTATAAAGTCTCCTTTAAGTTTTTTACTTTTCCTGTCATTAAGTTTCATGCTTTATAAACTTCTGTTTATGTGTTGTATATAGTATGTATGTATTTGTTTATGTGCTGATTTTTTTATTCATTTTGCAACTTCAGTTTCTTAGTTCATGTTGTGGTTTTGTTTTTTATAAAATAATTGATAATAAACAACCTATATAAGTCCTCGTTGGTTTTACATTTCCATTCGTTATCAAATGTAGACATTGATGAGAGGTATCAAAGTGAGATTTTGTTTTTGTACATATGGATGTGTTCATGTAAACATTTAAATGACAAAAAACAAGTTATTGATAAAATGTTGCATATTTATGTAATGAAGATCATCAATCATATGAGTTTTTGGACTTAGAAGTTCTCGGAAGGGTTGTGAGATAAGTTTAAATGGAAGCAACTATTTTCAGTCAAACAAATCATTCACATTAATTAGTAAACATGTTTTCTAAATAATTAGGGTTAATGATTTAGGAGGGTAATAAGGTTTCCAGTTTGTCCGTATTAGGTGACTAAAGTTTTTTTGTGTGTATTAGACCAATATGGTTATTATTACCGTTTAGAAATAGTCCTTTTTACCCGTTAAAACCGGTAAAAGAACTATTTCTAAACGGTAATAACAACCATATTGGTCTAATACGCACAAAAAAAACCTTAGTGACCTAATACAGACAAACTGGAAACCTTATTACCCTCCTAAGTCATTATCACGTTTAACCGATCCATTCCGGATCAACCGAATTGGTATGGAAGTTGTAACATGGGAAAACCAAGGAAAACACGACTTATTTAAATAATCCGGTGACCTACCAAATGTAGAAGTAGGATTTTTGGCAAGCAATAAGCATTTAAATAATACAATTCAATTAAAAGTTATTTATTTAAACAATATATAGATATCTAAGATATAAAAATGCGGAAATAGTAACTCAAAATTTATTATATGTATGTTCAGAGAATTTTGAAAAGTAGATATTAACTTTTTCTTTTTAGAACAAAATAATATTAAGAGAAATTCAATATCCTTCTGTTTATTTTCTTCCTATTATTTTTAGATAATTACAAATATAATAAAAATTTATTAATCTTAATCATATTATAAAGCATATTAAACTTTTTCTTGAAATTTAAGAGGTACATGCTTGATAAACTTAATGTACAAATCTTTTATGCACACACCACTTATCTTTTCATGAACAAAAACTAATTATGGTAAATAGTAATCAACGAAAATATTTAAGGAATGAACATTAATTAAATTTTGTTTGTTTTTTAATGTATGCATGATGTTTGTCCAAAGGTTGGACATTAAATTTTTATAACATATAAATTAAAAAATTTGTAATCGTTAAAACAGTCAAACAACATTTTCTGTCAAAAAAATCGTTCATTCAAAAAGTAATAATTGCGGCCCGCTCTTTTGGGTGGGTACACACCTAATTATATTAAATATGACAAGTGATACTCTTAAAAGAGTCATAAGGCGATAGGAGTAAAAAGGGAGAAAATATTTGGTTTCTTTAAAATTAAAGATAAATCTATTTGAATTTATAAAGATATTTTGATAAGTGATCCAAAAGGGCCGTGGCCATTAGTATCAACCTTAGAGTTGATGAAAAATTCTAACTAAAATAGATAGGTTTATAAGCAAAATAATAATAAGTTTATGAGTTTGTTCGTACTAAAAAGAATTAACTTAACTATATGGGAGAGTTCTTTATAAAAAAACTCTACTTTCTTAAATACTGTGGGAACTGGAATGTTTCCCAAGACTTCTAAAAGAATAATCTAAATTCTTATACGAGACACATGCAAATTATTTTTCATTTATACAGTATTTGTATTTAAGTTTTTAAAATGATTATTATGATTTTTAAATATTAAAATAATATAAAGGAATTGTAATAAAATGATTAAAATTAAAAATTATATAATTGATTACATATTTAAACTAAAAATCATTTTTTGTGTGTTAAATGAACAAAATAACACTTTATATCATGTCATTATCAATTTAGACCATATTTAATTTAAACAATTTATCCTACAACTTATCATAAATTCAACAAATCTTTAATTACAAACAAAGATACATTGTAAAAATTAACAAAAACTAACATATTTTTGCTATTTTACATATCATAACATACATTGTTGGAAAATTAAAATCAATATAAACCAAACAGTTATCCTATGCATTTAACATTTTTTGTTATATAATTTCTCATTTGCTTTATTGGTTAACTAGTTGTAAGACCCATGTATTACATGAGTTAATTTAAAAAAAAGTTAAATATAAAAATCAAAATATTTGAAAACTTTGAATTTAAAATAAAATAAGAAAAATAATGAAATATTATAATGGAAATATTTTTTATCTTTTAAATTTAAACAAATAATTTAAATAGATAAAAAAAATTAAAGAGCTTTAATTTTGACAATTTTAAATTTAAAAGTAAGTTCATTAATGAAATTGATATCCATTTGTTACTATATTTATTGCAATTATTACATTAAATTATTATGTGTAATTTAATAAATAAAAACTCATAAAATGACATATAGAAAAAGAATTAATTTAAAATAACTACAAAATGATATTTGACAAATTAAATAAGAGTGTGAAAAGTGGTAAAAAAACATTCATTTATTAGAGAGGAAGCAAAATGGATGATTTAAAATTCAAATTATTTCACATAATATCATTCGTAAGGGACGATTCACTTGGGATTATAAAAAAAAATAAACATCTTGAGATTTAACATCATCCACATATTTCTCATTTGCAGCTCTAACGCTCCATCGTACTTGCAACAACGATGTATGCCTAATAATAAATGATTATATTACAGATAGGTATAATCATATATAATTATACAATGTTTATACATATATGCCTAATCATAAATGATTATATATATATATATATATATATATATATATATATATATATATATATATATATATATCTGTTCACAGATTGAGTAATCGTATATGATTATAATGGTTTGTGGCAGAAGAGGTGGCGGTGGTATAAGTGATATAGGTGGCAGTGGCGGGGTCGGCTGGTGGCAGAGATGGTGGTAGTGGTGGTGGTGGTGACAATTGTGGT